GAGTTCCAAGAACTGTCAATTTTTATTACTACAGATATTATAGTTTTCTACTTGAAATTAAATGTTTAATGAGGATTCCATCACGATCGGGGAACATCCAAGAAGCGTTTGTTAAACAATCTGGGATAATGTTGACTCTAGTCTGTGTACGCCGTACTGGTCTGTCTGTGTGCTTAATGGATTAAAACCTGATTCAGAACATCCCTGTTCTGTTTGCTTTACCCGTATCAGTGGACCAGGCAATTAAACATGGTCATTCTCATGAACTCTGTTATGTACAACGTTTCGCAGCATCACGTATCAATCAAATACAAATATAACATGTGTACGAGCATTAGGTACATTTTAAATCATTCATCTTCCAAAGATAGATGTGTTCTAAAAAAAATATATAAGTAACTTCGTCTACAATGGGATTTTTTTTCTGCATTGCTCTATATGGACCTCGTTGATAAGGAATCTTGTCGTCTGGAAGGCATCTACAAGGTCTGCAGATGGCGCTTTCTCAGAAGCAAGTTCGCGCCACCAGATCGCTTATCTCTATGGTCGCATCATCCCTAGTACAGACGACAATAATCATTTGAATATTTAATACAACTGTCTGCGTGATAAGATAATGTAACACCTTAAAAGACAGTCGTGAATATATATCAATGAGAAAAACTATCATAAATAGTCATAAATGTTTTTAAAGTTTTGACATTTAATGCATCAACTTTCGGTTCCGAAACGTGTATGGATCTTTATGTTGATTTTTTGCCGGAGGTGGAAACCAAGAGTTCATCCTTTACATCATCGGCTCCTCTGAATAGTTCTTATAATAAATATTTTGAAAATGACTTGACCGTCTTAAAATTTGCTGACAAAAAGATGTTTGGACAAGAAGTCATAGGTTTGAGTGAGTGGGACCTTTAATTTAGCCCAGTACTTTCGATATATGGCTCTGAAGCATTTACAAATACTCCGCAAAATCGCCAGGCTGGCTTAATACATGTAACTTTTTTGTCTATGGTATTTAGGTAATCCCCCTTGATACTCGTTTCTGAATACAAAAGCCTCTGATATTAAATCGGCTACTGTTCTCCAAATTGAAGTTAGCAATTTACATTATCAAATGCCTGAACAAACATGAAATGGTGAATTACGGATAACGTTTAAAGCACCTTAATATTTGTATCTGGAGAAGTACTAATTAAAACCCCTAGGTGCAGCTCAAGCACTTCGGATGGATGCATTGTGTTCACGAGTCGTCATTGTTCACCTCTGTTTGGTCAGTTTCCAAAAGAAATTGCTACATTCCATTTCCTTCGTTTTTTTTTTTTTTTGGTTAACAAATATTCGAAATCTGGTCCTGATTTTACATTTTTTTTCCCCTTAGTTTTTAATTTGAAAATCTTTGGATGTCTTTGAAATTGAAACCAAGAATATTGATATAACGTCTAGAAGTGAGCGCTATAGAAAATTCTGACTCGTTACTTTAAATTGATAACGTCTTCATATAATCACAAACAAAACAATCTTTGTATACTTAGAAAAACTTTCCTCTTTGCTAAGTCTATATACCCATCAATTGTTCAAACTGTTATTGTCGCAGAGATTGGAAAAGTAAGAGCGATATTTTAAAGTTTTGGCTGTGAATGGCAGCGTATCTTTTGTGATTTGTAGCCTTGGTTACGGCGAGTTTGATTCAGATGTGGTGATATGCGCGGTATTTGTCAACTCATTAACTTTGGAAGGTGCTGTTTAGTTTACTTTAGTTCTAAATTCGGATGCAGAGAACTAAGCATGTTTAGACGTCGTCAGTTTTTAGGCGTCAAGATATTCAGTACGGAAAAAAGTGACCATACAATAAAATTCGATACAGCGCTTTTTATTTGAACAGCAACAAAAGATTCCATTTTCTTATTTCACAGTTTTGTACAAATGATGGAAACTTCTTGCGACATTTCAAATTTCTCGTGCTGCGGGCATTATTTGTTCTACCACTACCCCGCAGTAGTAACGGAATTCGCCGCAGAAACTACTATTGGGTTTTGATAACGTCCCATCGCCAAATCAATAAATACCATTATCCGTACACAGAAGTCTGACTTCAGAATATTGATGGGCTAAAATGTTTTCCAAACATGGCAATATTTAAGGGCCGTGTTTTTACAATAAGACAAGTCAAGAAACGAAAGCATCCACACGCACAGAAAATGCATACACGAACAATTTAAGCTCAAAGAAACCCTTTGTCACTAAAAAATGAAGAGAAAAGGGAATAATGAATATTAAGGAAAATATTTCGTGTTACGTGTTACAAATGCAAACACTCCCGGAAACTTAATGCTTACGGTTTCAGATTCGTATTATATATGATGCTGAATTTCCGGTACAGAGAGCGTGCATCCCCAGAAAAAGAGCATCTTCATCAGCATTTTCTTCACCTACGTACTCATCCAGACGACATTTGGCAGTAATCAGCGAATGAAACAAACAGATTAACATTTCATTTCAGGTTACTTTTATCATCGGATGAAGTTAACTTCTATTTTCATTTTCCATTGTTGTCATAGTACTTGTAGCCTCATTTTACTTCCACATCCATCATGGCATGGCGAAATGCTAGGGGGAGTGAACGGGGGAAATTTTTATTATTGACATTTCTTTTATCTATTTATGGACTTAAAACTTTTGAAGAAACATACATTTTAAACAATTTTTATTTATTTTTTTTTAAAATATAGTTGTATATTTTCAGTTGGGCGTTTGTTGAAAAATTTTGTGGGTAGCATTTTTTTTTCTTTTTTAAGTTTTGCTAGGTACTGCAATACAGTACTTTTGTAACTTGGTTCTGATAAAATGCCAATATTACAAGAATAGGGAAAAGGTATCGCTGATTAAACTTCATTATAGACAAAAGAATTCCTCTAAAAATATTATCTGAAAGTGTTTTTCACGCAACATCAGCTTTATTTGAATAGTTGGCTCTGAAGTCTGGTATGGGTGACATCCAAATCTTGTGTTACCTATCAACAAAGATGATCATCCAAGCCAGACAAAGAAAATATGAGCTGCAGAAAGTATTGAAGAAACAAGATATGAAAACCTTTTATGTTCGTTTGTGTAACTCATCATGTAATTTTGCTGAAAGCCTCGTAAAGTTTCCTTTCTTTTGAAAACTTCTTTTATGGTATTAGAATATGCACAATACAGTTTAAAGGCCGAGCAAGGCTGGAACAATGGATGTAGATATCACAATTTTTAACAATAGTCTTTTCCCAGTCAATTGTTCATTAATTGTGTAGAAAGATTGAATTATCCTTGGATAGAGGTTGGCTTTTTGTCATCATTGAAATAGAAAGTGTGTAAAGCTTCAGTTCTTTACAAATTAGTGGCACTGCACCAAAGGAGTCAGTAAAGTGAATGTAAGGGATTCCATATTGTATTGTTTTGGCTGTAATAAGCTGATAATACAACGATGGTTGTCAAAATACTGAAAATAGACTTGGAGATTAGTACTAGTTACTGTCTGACTTAGGATTTTTTTGTCTGTTAGGAAGTGGTGTCTGGTTGCATATTGCTGTCTGCATTTAAGGACATTCTTATCAGTTTTTTGTTTCATTTCATTGATTAAACTAATTGCAATTCCACTTGCAATGTCCATTGTTCAGAATTTTGAATTTTTCATTGTTTCAAAATTAATAAATTTAATTTTTAGAAATAATAATATTTTAAAAAACTTTTTAATTAAAAAAAAAAATTATTTCCTAAGTTTTCATATACATATTAAAAAAATGAAATTTGGGTTTCAAGCAAATAAAAATATGAGGGCTCTTTGCTCTGCTGAACATTATTCGACAATTTTCATGACAAGTGGAAAAAACTTTTTTGCAATCTAATGGAAATTCTGCATCATTCAGAAAATAATTTATTGATGTTTAAACTACATCCTGTTATGAGGGTTCAGAAGAAATCTGTCAATTTAAACTGACTGTCTTGGGTACTAAGTGGCTGATGTTAGATGCTGTTTTATTCTAAAACCTCCCCACTCTAATCACCTTCCCTAGAAGCCTTCTTTTCACCTGCTAATTAACAATTTATCGGGTACTGAGGTGACTGAGGGACCACCCAGGTTAGAAAATAGTTGCTAGAGGCAAACAAAGAAAAACGGTTACATGTGCCAAAATCATCTATACCCGCAAGTAAAGGAAGCTGGAAAATGGGGTCTGACACCCAGTGGCAGAATTCTCTTTTGTTGAAGATTGTTCTGCAAATAAAGAGAAGGGGGAGAAAAAAAATGCTTTTGTATGTCTTATCTACTGAACATTTCATCTCTTGACAAATACTGAGGGGTAAGATATCCACTTGTAAATTTCTTTTTTTGGTAATTAGTCCTGGTGAAGTCTTATTCTCTCTCTCTCCTTTAACTTTGGTTCTTGTAATTTGATCAATAGGTTCTTTGTGAATAGGGACACTGGGTTTGGAAAAAAGGGTAGGCGGAGTGCGGGACAGCCACTCTTCATCCATTTCTAGAGAGCTGTAGCCATTTGATGCTTGACTGATGAATTGAGGGCACATTTAGTCTGTTAGGCAGATCTTTATCCTAGTGTGGTAGAGTGATAGAGATTGAAGTGTTTAGATGCTGATGGTTTTGTACTTGTTAAACCTGAACCACATTTTGGTCCAAATCCCAAGGTTTTCTTTGTAAAACTGAATTGACACCTTGAAAAATCTGATTTTTTCTTACACGAGCTGTTTGCGGTAGGGCTTTTTTTGTACTGCAGTTGTTTCTCAGTACTAGAACAATTTAAGCCACCTAAGATAACTTCCTTGATTATAAATAATTTAGACAGTTTATGATTAAATTTGCATACAGTAGGTATAAGTAAGTAACAGTTTGTGATGGAGCATTGTCATTTTCGATATTAAACATTATAGATTAAAAAAATTATCTGTTGGGTGAGTCTGAGTGCATTATTAATTAAACACAAATTTTTGATAAATGAATTCATGGATTGATTTATCATGTATCCTCAGAAATTCTAATGATATTCTGTACCAGTGTTTAGTTTGATTAGAAATGAAACAATTGTCAGAAAAAAGAAACATCCTGGCCTAATAAAAAGGATAAATCACTTGGGAAAGATGTACCAACTTGTTTATTCATCCCACAAACAAAATACTTTAATATCTAGGAATACATTGAGATGTATCCTGGGGCTGTAGCTTGTAGAGATTTTAGGTGCTAATTTGTAATTGTGTACCCCCTGCCTGGCCTCTGTTACCTATCAGGTAGTCAATGTTTGTACCTGTGATTTGGTCCTGTGGTTGCAACATCACTGTTCCATTGTCTACTATCTACCTGTTATTCTGGGCCCAAGCCATAATTAACACCCCTGGCTCCCCTCTTATCAGTTGCTTTATGTAATCTTTTATTGTAGGAATTAAGCTTTCATCACTCAAACTCCTTTGAATTCATTGTGTCCCTGCCTTAGCCCTATTGAAAGTTGTTTGCCTTAGGAAAACAATATTATCCCTGTAAGAATGTGTTGAGTAATCAGGCTCAGAATCAATATGGGCAAGAAAAAAGAGTTCTCAATTGCCACACATCTTTTTACATCCCTCATTCCCCTTTCTTCTTCTTTTATAAATTTTTACCTTTATATCAACCTGGGAATCTGCACCTGTAGACACAGTAGGGCTCAGAAGACCATGAAACAGATAACAAGGTGGCATTATCCCAGGTACAGATAAACACGCAGCCTACATCACTCACTGATAAAGAGGCTGGGATGACCTCATTCTTTTTGTCCCCCCACTCCTATGTTTATCAGCAAATACTTGTTGCTTTTCTGTAATTTAGAATTAAGCTCTTCTCTTCTTTGGTGATTTCATATCCTCCAGTCAATGAAAACAATAGTAGAAAAGGAGGCAGTTATTTTGAAACTGAAAAGAGGATTTTAATGGTATAAAGCCAGGTGATCTTAACATTGGGTAGGGACTTGTACCCCTAGGTGTGAAAGCTGATGATAGATGTATTAGTTTCAGAATTAAAATAAATTCCTTCTTTTGATAATTTTTTTTTTTACTGGATATGACCTTTGGTGTTTGAAGTTGTAAAATTACTGTATTGAAGTGGTTTTGGATTCAATTTACAATTATCACCGGCAATTTTTTCCCAGTATGAGATGAAAATAAACAAGGACATTAGTACTTTTTTAAATTTGAGAGCATGCAAAGAATCATTTTTCTCTTTGAAACGGAAGTTTTTGACCATTGATGAGAGTAATGATACAGGGACATCTAGTAAGATAAGCGTTTAAGTGGATAGGTTTTACAATACACTAAGGAAGCTAAAGTATACATAAAAAACTTATCAATAGCAAATTGTATCACAAGGATTCTGTTTATTATAAAAGATGGGGAAGAATTTAGTTGTCGTTGGAAAGGAAAAAGGATACATTAGCGATGAACCTTTACTTAAACTTTCCTAAAGATGAGAATGTTTCAAAAATTTTTTACAACACCTGCATATTATGTAATTACACACACAAAAGAGATACATCTTTTTGACAAATAATAGCTGGAATTCATATTTTGCGTTGGTCATTGATCATATCTTTAGAAACGGTGACTAAGGGAGAAAAAATCCACAAAAATGTTCAGCAAGGTATCTCGTCATCAGAAAAGGGAAACCATCACCACATTAACACAATACTGTCGCCATCACAACCGGAGATTGTGGAACAAAACACATCATGTGACCCCACAACCTCCCGCCTAATAAATCCTTTCGTCATTATACCTCACAACTTATTACGATCAGATTACAACCTGCATAGGATTCTGCAAGATAGATGAAAATTATAGGGTTTTAAAAAATATTGGCTTAATTTAATGTTGCTAATAATTATTATTCTGTATTAAATTGATGACACTGAATGGGGAAGGTTTCTGAAAGTCTCCTATGATTTTGCAATGGTTTCTTTGTGTTCTGTATCGGAGTAAGAAGAGATTCGGCTTCTGGTCGTGCTCCAGCAGATCACAAGATTTTTATCGAGTTTTTAGAAGGTCAGCCTTTCATGGTCGTAGCCTCTGATAATCTGATGGCGTGTAACGAGCAGCATTTTTTTTTGCCACTGAAATCATAATTATATTTCTGTTTTGTTAGTTTTCAATAGCTTTTGGAGACCTAACTGGGTTGCTTTTTCATTACTTTGAAATTAGAAGTGTCTATTGAGAAGAATTGATTACAGCTATCCACCATTAACTACACTTCAATTTGACATTCCACATATAATCTTCATTGTGTATAGAAACTCAGATAAATACTTCTGATGTAATCAAAGACTTAATAAGATGTGAAATCTAGAAATATCTTGAACACTGGGGCTACATTTTCAGGGCATTGTGCTTTCTCCATCGCTTGATATGAATTTCATAAGATTGAGGATAAACCACTATATTATTCTTTTATAGATGAAGAAATGTGATTTGTAATGCTACCTCCATCTT